TTTATGATTAAGTGAATGAATGAATGAATGCATAAATGAATGAATGAATACGATGATTATGTGAACTATTAAAAGAACGAATGAATGAATGAATCAATCAATCAACGATTGAGCGAATGTATTCATGAATTCGACACTTTTTATTTTAGATACCTTCTTTCGCCTTCTCATTTTCATTTTAGTGAATCCGCCTAGCTTTACAAACCGTTATAAACCTTTTCAGCCAGTTATCTGCTATAATCCTTCCTCACTCCTGCCCTGCACACACACTTGCCTTTTTTCCTTCTTCTTTTACACAGCCTTTACTTGCCTAGTATTATTTTCTATTGGATTTGCTGGCTGTGAAGTTAAAGTACAAAGTCCATATATTATTTCAATACGAAGTTGAGCCAACCCTCAAATTTTTTGGAATCGCAGAGGTACTTGAATTTGTGTGAGCTATCACAGAGATCTATGAGGAATGCATCTTAAAGGCTCTTCAAGTAGGGGCTTTTATTATCTTGGAGAGCTATGGTATCCTTGAATGGACCCCGGAGGGATAGAGAGCTGGTCGTGGATGAGATTTTCATGACAAGCAGTTACGGCAGCGCCATTTGTTACTATGCCAGCCGACCTGCTTGCCTGACTTTGATTTTATCATTCTTCCAAACTCTTAACTTGAGGTAATGCTTATAATTAGTAGTACTATAAGTGCGATCATAAACTTGGTCATTTGATTTCTGTATGGTGACGTTGCTGATTTGATTTCAACGAGAATGGAAAGGAACATATAGACACGAAAGCAAAGATGAAAGTGAAACTAACAAAATCAACGTTATCTTTTAGCTCCTTGCTTATCTCATAACTCTGATCAATCATTCGTACTCAGTATGTCGTTCGGTCATTTTTCACCATTGTTACACCAACACTGTGTTCTACTAGTTTTTCTTTTTAACCACCTCTTAGTGCTCATCACAGCGAGCCCTTTACGATGTTCTACATCCATTCTGACGTTCACGAGGCTCAAATCTTGATTTTGTCGTAGTCAACGTTGTGCTGGTTTTTAAGTTTTTCTGGATGAATCAATCATCCTATAAAATTTTTAAAAAAAATGAATTTGTACTTAGGGTTGATTCAGTCAACGAAAGAGTATTGCATTAGAGTTCACTTTCATATTTCTATCGTCCAGTTGCCAAAACTTTGCCTTTTTGTGGAAGCCATAAGTTAGCAAAGGTTAATTTTATTTCTCAGAAGTTCAGGGAAAACGCTAAAGCTTGCCATTAATCTTGTAGCACATTTAAAGACATAGATTGCTCGATGCTCAAGAGTAGCAGCTGACTGAGGATTTAAATTCTACTTTATATGGATCTGTCTCCTAGCAGCCTTTTAAACACTTTCAAAGTGATCCAAGAAACACTGGCTGCTCAGCAACCTCCAGCGCTGCATAGCAGCAGCTACCAGTTGGCTTTGAATGTACCCTAAAAACTGAATTTTTCAAGTTTTCTTGACCATTGGGCTATGCACGTCTTATTCATCCATATATACATTACAAAAAAGAAATTCTCTTCCTCTTTCAAAACCACTACTTTTTTCCTGAGACGAGCGCAGGCTGATTGGCTTAAGATAAAAACAAGGTTAAAAACCAAGTCCAGCAAGAAAGATTGCTTCTTCTCCTTTTCTTTCTTTCCTGCACCTGTCTGGAGCCTTGAGTTCACATATTTGGACATTAGGAATGGATTGTTTTTTGAACTTTAGGCTTAACAAACAGGGGTTGAAACTACCTTTGGCCATTTGTAAGCTAAAAAATCTTCAATCGCAATTTCGTAAATTTATTCAAATTTGATAATACATATATCAACGAACGAGTACTTGTCTAGGATCACTGCTTAGGAGAACAGAAAAAACACAATAGTCAATAGTCAAATCTACTACCCATAATTTTAAAGGTCGATTCTTCTAATAGGTGATCGATATCATACTTCCTTCCACTCCTTCCATACACCCTCCACTATGAGGCACAACATCGTTTTGAAGTTTGGTATACCTGGAGTTTTCCATATCTTTTTACTTATCTCACACTACTTACTTGCTTCACTATTCTAGCTATTACTATCCGAATTTGAGAGGGTCCATGTGAGATTTGCCATGTCAAGTCAGAAATTTCTAGTTTCTGAGCAAGACGCTATCCCCCATGTTTTGTGTTCTCAAAATACGAGAA